GCGGCGATCGCCCGGAATATTCGGCCGTGTACAAATACCGACGACGACGAGAACAATTCAAATTATGCTAATCATCGCGCGCTCGTTATTGTACATTTAACGTCCGTACATAATATTATCATCATCGCTACACAACAATATCGCTACTCGAAATGTATTCTCCGGCGAATAACTCATATTACGGATTCGGCGGCGTATTTAGGTTTTTGTCTTGGAGGGGGGCGGGGGTGACGATTTTATCCGGTAGTATAACAAACTTGAGGGCACTCCCCTTCACCCCGTCCCCCACGAAGTTTCCGTAAAATACAATAACTGATCAATATCATATAATTAAAACAAAATTCAATACCTATTTCAAATAAAAGCTCTGTGTAATCATATATAGATGCCAAATCTATATATGATGAATGAAAAAATGAAAATAAATAAATAAAATATATTTTAAACGGTATGACTAGAATAAGAATTATTTATCAATTAATTATACATCTTATGGTGCGATTTATCTCCCCCCCCCCGTAAATACTCTACTGTATGGATTCTCGAAATATCGTCAATATTATTTTTGGTCATAACAACTGTTGTTTCTCTCGTTTTTCAATGCAACGTGTATAGAAGGTACCTATACAGTGGCGGCTACAATACAAACTCGTTTCAAATCGAATTTTCTTTAATCGAATATTTCTATAAACAATATCCCCGTATCCCCCGAGCAGTGGCGTGCCCCACCCCCGTCAATGGACTAGAGTTTTTATTTATATATTTTATTTTATTTTAATACATAATTTATAATTAATTTACCGAACATATAAATAACGTGCCCTCCTTTGAAAAACGTCTGGATCCGCCGCTGCCCCCGCGAGGAGGCCGTGGCACGTAATATGGGAAAATAATCCGCACTCCTCGCTCCGCCCATTGCTTGTCCCGATCCCGCTCTCCTCTTGTCCGTCTCTTTTCGGCCCTGCGTATCTACGGCAGCGATATATTCGGCCGTATATGTACATTTTATTTTTCCACTCGGGTCTGGCCGATATCGGACCACAAACATTACGTCGCCTGATCGATTTTCCCTCTATAATTAGCGCGATTCTACCCCGTACAGAAAGAAAAAAAAAGCCGAACACTCACGCATCGCGCAAGCCGCCGAGTGCGACTAATTAAGTATGATATTATACGCTGAGCAATTGCGCGCGCATGCCAATCGCGTTTCTCGATTTCCGCCCGCTTTGTACGCGTATACGACGGGGCAGGTAGGTAAAGGCTGGATTTTTTTTCTCTCTGTTCCCTTTATATAAATCCGTCGCCGGCGCACACTCGAACCCCGTACACAATATCATCCGTGCGGGTCGGTTCCCCCCCCCCCGTATCCGTATTACGCGTTATTATTATTATTATTTTTTTTTTTTTTAAATTAATACGGCCCATACCTTTTTTGCCGGACGGCGCGAGCACCCTTCATCCCGTCCCGCCGTACCCGTCGTCATAACGATTCGACGAGAGCCGCGTAATATATTATTATCATTATATTTATACATGTATACGTACACGCGCACATCAACCGAGACCGGAATTTTCCGGAGATTTAATTACGGGCGCGCGTGCACCGCACGGCCTCGCCGTGGAAATGCACTGCGGGCGCGGCGTAACCCTCGACCCCGTTGGCCGCGGCGGCCCCGGGAAAACTTCGCGGACGACGACGACGAGGGTCCTACGCCGCGCGCTCGACGCTCCGTAACGCGTTTGACCGTTCGCCGTCCGACGAGGTTACGACGCGCGGCGATAGAGAGAGAGAGAGAGAGAGAGAGAAAATTACATAATAACAGTTCGCAAAAAAAAATAATAAAATAAAAATAAAAAAATCGCATCGTATATTTGTATGTACCGCACACGGGCTTTTTCACCCCGGGCCGGGCGATATTGCGGATATCACGCCGTCCGTGTTTTTCTGCTTTAAGATAATCTCCATCGATATTTTTCCGGTCTCGTCGTCTACCTACTCGCGTGTCGCCTGTTTAAATCGCTGTCCGCGAACGAGTTTTCGACATGTGTCCCTCGCTCCGACATCGAATATACTCGTCTAAAACCACTTTGAAAACACGAGTTTTCGTTTTTCGTTAGCGATTTCCGGTATAAATCAAATAAATCGTGATCTGAATGTATCGACCGTTCGGAGTTCCTTTCTACAACAGTATTGGCCGTTTTTTCGTTCAATTCTCTTGTCGCTTTCGTCCCGCAGCCAGATAACCGTGGGTAAAGACGTTAAAAGAGTAACTAAAATACACGGCCTAAATACAGATTTTTTTGAGATTTTGTATAATAGTATACACACACACACACACACACACACACACACACTTATAAATGAACAAATCATATTACTCGTGTGCGTGTGCGTGTGTGAGTGTGAGTGTATTATACAACAACGTCGGCTGCGTGGCGCGACGACGACGCTGTACTTCCTTATAGTTTCACGTTTTCGGTCACGCGATGTGAAAAATAACTGTGTAGGCCTATATTAATACTAATAATTATTGTTATTATTATTATACTAATATACACTACACAATGCGCCGAATGTTGTTAATGCCGTGAGAAAATCACGAAAACGGTCACAAATCAATCCTACACAGTCCCCGGCTCGCGTCTCCGCCGTAGTCCGCGTGGTCGCGTTTGTACCCATTTAAACCGGCCGCAACGATACCGGCGGTTGCGACGAAAACGTCGCCGGTAATTAACGGAGGCCGGCCCCGGTGAATTTTTCCCCGATCCGTGCGAATAGAGCCGCGCGATAATGGCGACGGCGAAACAGTACAACCGTTTTATTATTACGATCGGCGGGCGGCCGAGTCGATGGTGTCCGGTCGAAAACGTTAATAACAGTACAATACGGCCTAACCCAACCGTCCGTATGGCGTGACGGGGGGGGGGGGGGAAAAAAAA